ACTGAAATGTGAATCATTCTTCAATTATCATTACATTTCTAAACGGAGTTTTGTAATTCGTAGAACTGACGTAACTCATAATCAATCTGAAATGTGAACATTCATTTAGTCCTTTCTTACAGATACAATCGACTATCATCAGTAACTGAGAAATCGAATGCATTTTCTAAACAGCATTTCTATAACTAGTTTCCCTGTCATAACTCAAAACCGATCTCAAATGTGAATCAATCATTCACTTCGTTATTACAAAATACAATCGACAATCATCAACGCAGAAATCGGATCATTATCCTGTATTTTGTAAACTACATTCTGTGAATCAGTTCGACTGTCAGAAAAAATCAATAATCAATCTCAAACATCACAACAACTCGACTACTAAAGGCAATCGATCAACAAGATCAAAACAAACGCAGTCAAAAGTAAATCACGAGTAAATAACAAACTAAGTGAAGATCATCAAAACGGCTCCGATGATGAAAGTAGGAAGATCAAGTAAGAAGGAAGAAATGTATAAAAAGAGATGAAACTTACTTTAGTGTTGCGAGCCAATGCAGAGAGGAAAAGAGCGATGAAGATGAGGGAAAAGAAGAGACAACGAGGCGCCATTTTCAGAACTTCCGGTGGAGATTTAGAGATTTAGGGCAGAAGGAGATGGGGAGGATTGGTTTATATACAGGTCATGGCTGGGGAAGAAAAGATGGATTAAGGTCACGTGATTTGGACGTGGCGCGCAGGTAGTGTTTGGCCACTCTGTTTTAGGACACAGACTAGCGCTCTTATCGGAACGCCTCAACTTAATATCCAAAATTAGTGTTATTAAATTTCAAAATTAGAGAAATAATTGTTAAATTATTCCCACTTCATTTGGTTTTTATTTAATAATATTTTGTTCAACCAGCTATCCACCTGTCATTTTCTAAATTATTTATTTATTTATTTCTAAATTTATTATTATTATTTATTTAATAATATTTTGTATACCACTATCTATTTTAATAATTTGATGATTCCTAAAATCATCATTTAAAAATTACTTTTAATTAAATTTAAATCACTTTTACTATCGTAGAACTAAATATAAAAAGGATTTATAACACTTTTACATAAATAAATAAATAAATAAAATCACTTCAAAATATACTTTTTAATTATATAAAAATCACTTCCAAAAATTAAAAGAATTAAGTAAAAATTACTTTTCATAAATTTATTCTAAATAAATAAATCGTAAAATCATTTTCAAACATGTTCTTAGTCCCTTTAATACCACATGAATATTTTTCGAAATTTAGCCTGCCGAGTACCACACATCATTGTTTCCCTGCTTAGCCACGATATTTTAAATATTAAAAGAATTAAATCTGTTTAATAACAATTTCGTTTTCAGTTTTATCTTAATTTTTTTTTTCTTACAATATATTTATATTTACAATTATTTTCACATTTTTTAAAGTTAATATATATTTTTATTCAAAGCACATAGATTCAGTATAGAACCAGTTCAAAGAGAGACGGTTTTGTCTATCAACAGCATAAACCAACTTGAAAGACTTATACTACAGAGTACATAACTATTTCCAAAGACAGTACTTTTAAGGAAGAAGAACAACTGACCCTGATGTTTTCCGATTCTCGAGATCAGCGTGTGCCTGTGCAGCTTGAGATAAACGATATCGGTGATTAACACGAACCCGTAGAGCACCAGATTCGACGTTTGCAAATAACTCTTGTGCAGCCTTCAACAGCTCATCTCGGGTTAAGTTATATTGCATTAGGGTCGGTCTCGTTAAGAACAGAGATTTTACTGCAAGTGCTGAGAGTGGAACTGGGTCTGGTGTTCCTGATGACTGTCCAAAACTCACCATATAGCCGCGAGTTTTTAGACAGTCCAATGATCCCTGTTCATTGAAAGAGGAAAAAAATTCAGGAAATAATCCATTACTAAGCGTTAAGAATCACGAACCACCACAGTAGTATGATATTTTCCATTTCGATCATAAGCTCTCGTGACTTTACTTTTGGTTTCCCTAAAAGGCCTCATACCAGTAGAGATGTATTCCTTACTTATAAACCCATGATTAACCTCAATGTGGGACTCGTCTCCCAACAATGTTCGACACTAAAATCCCTACCATATAGCAGAACTCAGCAAAGCCTGATGCTCTAAGCTAATCGTCTAAACTATGATTTTGGAGTTGAAAACAACAAGAATTACAATAATTACCTGAAAGGTATCCTTTCCTACAGAGTCATAAACAACATTAACTCCGTTTCCGCGAGTTATCTCACGAACACGAGCAACGAAATCCTCTTCCTTATAGATAATAACATGATGGCATCCATCCTCCTTGGCTTGAGCTGCCTTCTCTTTTGTTGAGACAGTTCCAATGACAGTGGCACCAAGATTGTTAGCCCACTGACACAACAAGGATCCAACTCCACCCGCTGCTGCATGAACGAGGACGATATGTCCAGGTTCAACCTGCAGAGAATATAAGGCGATATCTCATCGGTCGTAGAAATGTTACTGATGCTGGATAATGTATGTGGGGTAAGCCTAAGTTAGTAACTCAAAATTCCCAACTCCCAAAATTTGGCGGTAATTCATGAAATGGAATGAACAAGTTACGTGATATTAACCAATTGTTACTTATCACAGTGTTTTGATATATTACTCTAGTACTTGGTGACCCATTTAAGGGCCACTCCACGTCGGTTGGAGAGGAGATCGAAGTATTGCTTATAAGGGTATGGAAACCTCTCCATAACAAACGTGTTTTAAAACCGTGAGGCTAACAGCGATACGTAACGGGCCAAAGCGGAAAATATCTGTTAGCGGTCGGCTTGGGTTGTTACATATATCCAACCCAAATGTAGTTAACTGATTTACAACAGAGGTTCAAATAAATCTCGGTTTTTACCTTAGATCGGGCTTGCTAAACACCATTTTTTTCCGAGATATATGACATACCCATGTAAAGTCAATGTCTAATAATGTGGGTAAACAAGCATAAGCATGTAAGGACAGACTACCTATTTTCAGTAACTTGTAATAATACACATGAATCTTAAATCTAACAACTGCAAATAAATACGATAAAACTCAACTAACCTTGAAACAGCGACCAACTAAAAATTGAGCTGTCAAACCCTTCAGCAGTACAGATGCTGCAACTGTAGGATCAATCGAGGTAGGCACTGGAACAACTTTGTCTGCAGGGATTATCTGTTCTTCTGAATATGAGCCCATTGGGTTACCAGCATAACCAACAAGGTCTCCAACTTTCACGTCGTTTACTCCCGGGCCCGCAGCTGTCACCGTCCCAACAGCTTCCATGCCTGTATCGTAAATTACTCTTCAGTAATGTTGCGTGTATGCAAAGCTCACTTCTCCAGCATTCAAATTGGGTATTAACCAAGTGTTTGAATAATTTTCACAAGTCTACTGTTTTAGTTATTTAGAATTCAAGGATACTGTCACACAACCTATAGAAAAGATCTCACTCCAGTAAAGTAGCAAGCACACTACTCCAATTCTCCTTGAACAGTTTTGGGCTTTGCGAAGTTTAATGACGCAACGTGGTCGAGGGAATCAAACAAGTCTAAGAGTGGAAGTCGAAGTGATATTGTTCATCTTTTCAAGCCTATTATAAGAGACATGAAATGTTGTTCCCAAGCTCACCGCTAGCAGATATTGTCCTCTTTGAGCTTTCCCTCTTAGGCTTCCTCTCAAGATTTTAAAACGCGTTTGATAGGGAGAGATTTCCATACCCTTATAAGGCCTGGACTGTTACAAATGGTATCAAAGTTAGACACTGGGCGGTGTGCCAGGGAGGACGCTGGCCCCTAAAGGAGTGGATTGTGAGATCCCACATCGGCTGGAGAGGGGAACAAAACATTCATTATAAGGATGTAGAAACCTCTCCCTAGTAATTACAAATTGTATCAGAGTCAGACACCTGGCGGTGTGTCAGTGAAGACGCTGGCCCCTAAAGGGGTGGATTGTAAGATCCTACATCAGCAGGGGAGGGGAACGAAACCTTCATTGTAAGGGTGTAAAAACCTCTCCCTAATAATTACAAATGGTATTAGAGTCAGACACCGGGCGGTGTGCTAGTGAGGACGCTGGCCCCTAAAGGGGTGGATTGTAAGATCCCACCTCGACTGGAGAGGGGACCGAAACATTCATTATAAGGGTGTGGAAACCTCTCCCTAGTAATTGAGTTAGACACGAGACGGTGTGTCAGCGAGGACGCTGGCCCCCAAGAGAGGTGGATTGTGAGATCCCACATTGGTTGGAGGAGGGAAACGAAACATTCTTTATAAGGATGTGGAAACCTCTCCCCGCGTTTTTGCGTTTTAAAATCTTGAGGGAAAGCTCGAAAGAGAAAGTTCAAATAGAAGTAGTATCAAGTATCAGTTAGTGGTGGCTACTGGCTTTAGCTGTTACAACATGCAAATAAAGAAACATTATCCAGAGCCCATTATGATCCAATTACTTTAAAGACAAGAACAAAACCTGGAGTAAAGGGCATGGTAGCAGCCTTGTAAACTCCTTTCCTGAAGTACACATCAATAAAATTTACACCAATCACCGTGTTTCTAACTCGAACCTCTCCCACTTTTGGCTCTCCAATATCCACATCCTCCCATTGAAGAACCTGTTACCATCACTTTGAACAATAAATCCGACCAGAACCCCAACAATGGCAGCAGAGCAACATAAATTCCTTAAACCAACGAATGTAACAATCATTTTGTCCACAATGAGAGAGCCCAGGAAAAAAAATTTACAAATTACGAACCGCTATTAAACTAATTATACTGTAAGATCTTTTAATATGCATCAAATTCGTACAATAATTGAATATTGAATTGAAGAATCGCAGAAAAGACGATGAGAGATGAAAGCAAACCTCAGGCCCACCAAGCTTATAAACCCTTATGGCTTTAACCATCTCCGGAGCTGACGATTCAGCTCGCCGACAAACAGCCCTCGCCGTAAAATATTCAGTCCGGAGCTCCGAATGGTGGTGGGAAGCCTCCGTCCGTTCTTCTCAGGGTTCGAAATTTCAGGTCGAATCGATATTTTCATTTCTTTTTCTTTTTTACTTAAATAATATATTCGGTGAAAAATTCGAACATAGCTAAAAAAAAGTTTAAATATTATATAATTTAATTACAAAATCAACAAATTATAGCTTTTAAAATAATTTTTATATTTGGATTTTCTTTTCTACAATTTATTGTCAACGTCCATTGACAGCGTCGTTCTTTGCCAACACGTGTTGAGCAGTTTCTTCTTGATTTCAAGACCCATTGACATCCCCTGATTCTCAGCTGAAACATCGTCCGCTTAATGACTTGCTTACTAAAATGGATATTCAATTAACCACCGCCCAAATCGTGGGTTTCAGAATCAGCGCCATTTGAAGTTCATTGCGATTCTTGAATGGAGCGGGAACAAAGCTGCTCCGCCGCCGTGAAAGATGAATTTCATCCAAATCCACACATCGATGCCCAAACGTTGATTTTGAAATCGATTTTCTTCTTGGATGGCGTCGGCGAGGTCATCGTCACTTGCAATTCAGATGGGTTGTTTTGGGAATTGGTTGACTTCCCAGAATCTGTAATTTCTTGATCTAATTTGATTTCTTATGTTTGCCTAAACTTGCTTCTCGAGTTTGCTCTTTCTTTCTTGGGTTTTAATGGGCATCCATTGCTTGATCTTTACTTCATGTTTGTGATTGGTTTATCAAATTGGGTGAAAAATATGTTAGCGTTTGGAAATGTACCGTTCATATTGTCCGAGTAGAAGCCCTGTATGCTTTGTTTTCCGTTTCATCTGAAAGGCCTCTGCCATGAAGATATTGTTCTTCACTTGTCTTTATCCAGCTAATTTCATGTTTCATAGCTTTTGTGGCTATCATCGGTTAGAAATTACGACTCTACACAATCGTATGATATTGTCCATTTTGGGGATAAGCTCTCGTGGCTTTGCTTTTGGTTTCTCAAAAGGTCTTATACCAATGGAGACAGAATTCCTTACTTATAAACTCATGATCAACCCCTTAATTAGCTGATGTCGGACTCCTCTCCCAACAATCCTCAACAATCCTCCCCTCGAACAAATTACACCATAGAGCCTTCCCTAAGGCCTATGGAGCTTTCGAACAACTTCCCCTTAATCAAGGCTCGACTCCTTTTCTGGAGCCCTTGAACAATCTACACATTTTGTTCGACACTTGAGTCACTTTTGACTACACCTCGAGGCTCACAACTTCTTTGTTCGACATGGTTAAGTTAAGGGCATGACTCTGATACCATGTTAGAAATCACAACTTTCCACAATGGTATGATATTGTCCATTTTGAGTATAAGCTCTCATAGCTTTGCTTTTGGTTTCTCCCAAAAGGCTTCATACCAATGGAGATAGTATTCCTTACTTATAAACTCATAATCAACCCCTTAATTAGTTGATGTCAGACTCCTCTCCCAACAATCCTGAACATCTTCTTCTTCTATCTTGAAAAGAAAAGTGGGTTTGTTCAATATGGTTTATAATGACACGAATATGATTAGTGATAGATATAATTCTACTTAACTCGAGTTTTGTACAATTCAATTGAATAGGTTGGCTCAGGATGCATGGGCATTAAGCTTGTTCCCGATGTTGCAGCAGAGGTCAAGTTTTCTGATGCTTATGCTGTTGAGTTTGACGACTTTGGAGTGATTCATAAATCAAAACTTGCGGCTGTTGCAAGCTGTATGATATGCAATGAATACGAGGTTTTTCATTACTCGTCGGTTGATTATTTCTTCTTGTCCTTAGATTTTTGAAGCTGTCAATACCTTATAATCACTGTTATTTGTTACAGAAACAGATGTATAGATTTACAGTGCACAGTTTTCAAAGATCAAAATCTCAGCCTGCTCATTGGGCCCTGACTATGTTTACATTTGGACACGAGGACCAGCAAACATGTCAGATGTGGGTAAATCAGATTAATGCATCTTTGGACCTTGAAGTTGAGAGACCAAAGAATCTTCTTGTAAGTTATGGTAACCATGATTGTATCTAAAGCTAGAAAAATAAACTTGTCACTATTACCGAGCAAACAACATGTTCGGTCTAGGACATCCGGATTTTAGTGAATGGGATGACAGTTTCTCATTCTAAATCTGTTAGATCGAACTAAGTGAACCTACATTGTTTTCTTTATACATTCCGTGCTTTCTTTGATGGTCTAGGTTTTTGTTAATCCTAAGAGTGGGAAAGGGATAGGGAGCCGAACGTGGGAAGCAGTAGCTCCTATATTTTTACGTGCTGAAATAAACACGAAGGTAAAATTTTATCTGACTTTTCCATTTCCTGATGTTTCTTTTCGTGATAGTGAAACAAAAATTGCTTAATTTCAGGTGATTGTGACTGAAAGAGCAGGTCATGCATTTGATGTAATGGCATCTATTGCAAACGAGGATCTAAAAATGTATGATGGTATTGTTGCTGTTGTAAGTAAGAGATCTTTGCATTTTTACTTCATATTTTTACCTAGAGACTTACCTGTTGGTGCTTCTTGTGAGGGAGGGATTTGGAACTTGGTTGTCTGATCTTTGTGGCAGTACCAACTCAAAACTTTGGTTGGACACAATTTGGCTGAGCAATTAAGGGAAATCCCGAATATCCTGAATCTTCTACAATGAATAAGATGAAAGATATATATTCTGAAGTTTTATTATCAAAGACTAAATTCCTCGATATTACTGTCTTGATATTCTTTCTAAAGAATAAATTCCTAACGAGAGATACTAAAGCTACAGTCTTATTGTGAGATCTCACATCGGTTGGGAGAAGAACAAAACATTGTTTATAAGAGTGTGGAAGTCTCTCCCTAGAAGACATGTTTTAAAAACCTTGAAGAGAACTTGGAAAGGAAAGCCCAAAGAGGACAATATCTGCTAGTGGTGGACTTGGGCGGTTACACATGGTATCAAAGCCAGACACCAGATGATGTGGCTAGCGAGGAGGCTGAGCTCCAGAGGGGAGTGGACACGAGATGGTGTGGCCTGAAGGGGGGGGGGGGGGGGGGGG